CTCCTGGTGGGGCTTGGACAGGCGCAGGAAGGCGGAGCGCATGGCGCGGTGGCAGGAGTCCATGAGCTCGGGGATGTCCTCCGCCGTGAGGCCGCTGGTGGGGATGGCGTCCAGGACCTCCACCTTGATGGTGCCTGAGGTGAAGAGCTTCGTCCTGGGGTTGTAGAAGGAGGAGAAGCTGGAGTACACCACGGGGACGATGGGCACCTGTGCCTGGACCGCCAGGTAGAAGGCGCCTTTCTTAAAGGGCAGCAGGTCCCCGTTGTCCTTCCGCGTGCCCTCGGGTAAATCCACACTTTGAGGTTCTCGCGGGTCATGAGCTCGCCCACGTCGGCCATCACGCTCATGGCGGTGCTGGAGCGCTGCCGGTTGATGAAGAAGACGCCCCCCAGGTACATGATCAAGCCCACCAAGCCCGTGAACAGCAGCTCTCGCTTGGCGATCTGCACGCAGCGCGGGGGCAGGATCTCCATGAGGCCCATCATGTCCAGAATGCTCTGGTGGTTGGACACGATGACGCAGGGCCGGTCCACCCACAGCCGCTGACGACCCTTCACGTCGAAGCGGAGGCCGTACAGGTACTTGAAGGACCGGACGAACCAGCTGATGATGCTGAGGGGAGAGGGAGAGGGTGCTGGTGAGCGGAGGTCCGCTGGGAGGGGTACAGGAGACACCGGGGACCCCTGGCTCTCGCGGGCTGGCTCCAGGGCCCTGCGGCCTTTCCCTCCAGGGGACCGTGGAGGCTGCCCTGCCTCCCGCCATCGTGACCAGACAGGAGGGAGCCAGGCCGCGGGGGGCAGATGCCCAGAGAAGGGGGGCCTCTGTTTCCCCGTCTGCATTTCAGGGGCCGCCCAGCCCTCGGCCCACACCCCTGCCCGCTCAGCAAGCGGGGACCCCGCTGGAAGGGGGCTGCAGGGCCCGAGCCCCACACCCTCCAGGGGCCGTGACATGCCGGGGAGGTGACAGGCCCCTCAAAGCCGTGCCACACCAGGAAATGAGCGTTGGCACCGAGTG